AAAGAGCATTCTGAACCCCACCAACAAGATTGAACCAAACTTGGCACACAGTTCTCCCATGACCAACAGAAAATACTGGAAGGTTTGGTGGGCAGTGTCCTTTGGTTTTGGAGTTGTAGTTCACCTACATCCAGAGATCACTGTGGACTCAAACAATGATGGATCTGGACCAAACTCTACACAAATGATGAGAAGATTGGGTACGGTTGTTTTTTGTAATAATTGTGCATTGTAATTGCTTATTGGTAATTTATGGATAATGTGTTAAGTCAATTGTTATATGTTGTATGGAACCACTGCTGTTTCTACTGTTTCTACTGTTCGTGAACCGCTGTGAGTCGCCTTCGGGCTTGAGATACAGCGGTATATAAGCAATGTAAATAAATAAATAAATAAATAAATAAATAATAAATACTCAATATGCCCAAATGTGAACACTGGTGGAGTTTGGGGAAAAAAGAATCTTGACATTTGGGAGTTGTAGTTCCTGGGATTTATAGTTCACCTCCAATCACAGAGCATCTGAACCCCAGCAACGATAGAATTGGGCCAAACCTCCCACACAGAACCCCCATGTGGGCCACAGCAATGCGTGGCAGGGGATGGCTAGTAAATAAAAATGTAATGTTCGTTTGTGGGATTAACATAACTGAAAAACCACAGGACCAATTGACACCAAATTTGGACACAATACACCTCTCAGGCCAACAAGTGACCATCACTCATAAAAACACAGGAAAACAGCGGGACAGACTTAAAAAGCAAAAAAAAAAAACCCAACTAACAACAACAACATTACAACACATACACAAAACCACATATATATACACAAGCATATGCACAGACTGGGCCAAAGCAACGTGTGGCAGGGGACGGCTAGTCACTCATAAAAACACTGAAAAACACAGCATAAGGGACTTTAAAAGCCAAAAAAAAAATACAACACATGCGCATAATCACATAAATACACATATTCACAAAATCATGCACATATATACACACACAAAAAACACATACACAGACTGAGCCACAGCAACTCGTGGTAGGGGATGGCTAGTCTACATTAATAAAAATGTAAAGTTCATTTGTGGGATTAACATAACTCAGAAAACACTGGACGAATTTACACCAAATTTGGACACAATACACCTATCAGGCCAACGAGTGACCATCACTCATAAATACACAGCAAAACACAGCAGAAGAGACTTAAAAAGCCAAAAAACAAAAATTACAATACAATGCATGCGCAAAACTACATATATATATACACAAACACACATATACACAAATATATACACACACAAAACACAAATACACAGACTGGGCCACAGCATTGCGTGGCAGGGGACAACTAGTATATTAATACTTTCTTTATAACCCACCCTATCTCCCCGAGAGGACTCAGGGTGGTTTTTTGGGGCCCTTCTACACATCCCTATATCCCAGAATATCAAGGCAGGAAATCCCTGTGGGAGGCTTCTCTCATCCCTGCTTGGGAAGCTAGAGCTGACAGATGAAAGCTCACCTGTCAACTCTCATGGATTTGATCCACCAACCTTCAGGTCAGCACTTCAGCCAGCACAAGGGTTTAACCCATTGTGCCACTGCGGCTGCTATGTGACCAAGTGATACTCGGAGAGAGACTGCCTTTGAACACAGGAGTTTTGTCTACCTATGAGAAATACCATCAACAGACATCTCTTCCTCTTTCATGAATATGTCTTAATCCCTTTTTCAAGTCCTGAAAATCCATATGGCAGACTATTTATTGTATATCCCATAATTATTCCAGCACGGAACCCAAGTCAGCTAACAGCATGGACTGAACTATAATTCAACTTAAAGACATGGACAATAACAAGAGTTTAACAGTGGAATAAATTATTTTATTAAAATACTATTTTCTTTAAAAAGCATTTGGAAGTGTAAGACACTACTTATATGTGTAAAGTATTTTATTTTGAGCAGGATTTTGTTTCCACACAGCCATATAACCCAGAATATCAAGGCAGAAAATCCCACAACATCTGCTTTGAACTGGGTTATCTGAGTCCACACTGCCATATCTTCCAGTTCAAAGCAGAAAATGAGGGATTTTATTCAGCTGTGTGAAAGGGGCCTAAGTTCCTTGGTAGACCTCACTTCAGTTTCTGTGCTGTAAAACAGGAGCAAATAAATTCTATCTACTTTCTCCACTTCTGGGTCACTTTTTAGACAGGATAGGGCTCTTATACATGATCAGAGAAGTCCCACATCTTTGTGTTACCACTTCACATATAGATATCAGAGTGACTTAAGAGTAAGATTTAGAAAGCGCTGGCTCAAAGGCAATCAAAATGCTTCTAAAGATGTGGGAGCGATTACTCACTTGTGAGAAGGACATATGTTAAGTGGCACTCCATTATCACAATGCTGCACACCTCCACAGTAAATTCAGTTACTGCTTTCCCACATAATACAGTGCTCATTCTAATCACCAACTAGTAATACGACGATTTGTTTGCTACAAAACCAGTGATTTTCCCCATACAGAATATACTGGAAAGAACTTGAAACATTCACAAATGAAACTTGTTTGTTTCTAATTTTGAACACTGAAAACTATGAAGGAAAATAGGAATATTACAAGAGGTTAGAACAGGTTACTCATTTTTATTAACAATTCAGAATCACTTATACAGAAATATTTTGCATAGACTTAGGCATAATATAATCTCCACTCCCATCTTCAAGTAAACATTCTCAATGGAACAAAATCCCAAATTGATTTCCATAATTTAGAAGTTACAACTATTTAAAAAAAACAACAACATAGAAGTAAACTTGAACAACTCCTCATTTTAATGGGGCATGTGCAGGACAGGCTGCTGGATAGCTGTGCAAAATAGAACACCACAATAATTGCCACAAGTGTGCAGGACAAAATAAAACCAGAACTTGAAAATGCATCCCTTAATGTATGCCATTAATACAAATTTCAAATGATGATTGTTCTAATATATAAATAAAAGCCACCAGAAACATTAGTATAAATAAATAAAAACACAGAAAAATTTGGCATATTACTGCATTAAAAAATAATCAGGAATGTGTACCATCATTATGAATTGTAATAAAATGAACAGTTTTGTCCAGTGCATATAAACCTAGGTTGAAAGATGTTGCTCAGATCTATGACTTTTAGTGTTTAGAGGCAACATTTTAAATTTAACAGGCATTTTCTATCAAATCTCCTTTAATGCATGCTCAACAGTCAGTTCTTTCATTTCACCAAGCAATCAGGGACATGAGGGAAACATGGATTTACTCCATTTCATAGAAGGCTGGAATCCCTTTCCAAGTTTTTGTTGGTCAAGATTAGAGAACAGCAAACTTCTTTACTAGGGAAAACTGTCTGAAATAAGTTCTGCCAGTATGATTTGACCTACGATAATTGCTTTTTGTCTAGCATTTTATTAATGTGAACTTGTTGAGTCTATGGACTGTAATAAAGTGTTGTTCTTATAGGATTTAATGGTATGTTTACTTCTTGAAGAATGTGAAAGCAATCCTATTGGATTGCTGTGAGTTTTCTGGGCTGTATGGCCATATTCCAGAAGCATTTGCTCCTGACGTTTCACCCACATCTATGGCAGGCATCCTCAGAGGTTGTGAGGTCACAGCGAAACGTCATGAGAGAATATTTCCGGAACATGGCCATACAGCCCAGAAATCTCACAGCAACCCAGTGATTCTGGCCATGAAAGCCTTCAACAACACAGTTCCATTGGAGTTAAGCTGTTTAACAAAAGAGGTAGATTAGCTTGTATGCAATGATTCTGGGAAAGAAAATCCAAATCTCATCATGAACAAGTTTTCTAAGAAGTCATTTTCTTCTTCCCGTGCTGAAGAAGAAAATGACTTAAACTTCAGCTAAATAGTCTACTATACAGAGAGTAAAATGATTATATATATAATGTACTAGGCTAAGATAAGGATAGTAGGATATATTCAATTATAATTTAGGCTTTGTGACATATCAAGTGGTATTACCTTGTCATTAGGCGTGAATTCCACCTGGAAGATGAAAATTGCAAATGTCTTTAACAGTCAAATTCAAAGTACAGTTCTCAGCTATTTGAAATAATATAAATAAAACTTGACAGGCAAGCCAAACGGACTGTCAAAGCACTAGAATGGTACATCATATCCCTATTTGCATTGATAAGCTATCCAAAAAGTAAAAAAAATCTTCCAATCACTAAATGTGCATGTTTGTGTGTGTGTACATTATAAAATACATCCGAGTATTCCTTATCTAAGGAAATGCTGTGGAAGTCATGGAGTTGCCTTGAAGTCACACTACTACTACTACTATTCTAGTTTTACAGTCCAAAATTCCAAAAAGTTGGATTTCCAAAATTATTGTAACATGTTTTGGAAGTACTCAACCCCCTTTTCTTTAATTATGAAGTATCTATCAAAAGATTCAAGCTTGGTAGAAGCATCTGCTTTGTTTTAGGCAATAACATGCCTGCCCTCCACCTAGATTTCCTACTTACTAACCTACTTCTGTTTCCTACCACTTCATCCTTTACAAAGTGACAAATGGCAGTGTTTCTAATAAAACCCCTACTGGCTTTGCTAAATACATATATTCATGTCTGTGCTCTCTACAGAGCATCTACCTTCAATTACGTTTCCCTTTTATTCTTGTTTGTTTACTAAATAGTCCCTATAACTTCTACTCATCTGCTTTCAATGGTTACAGCCATTAATTCTTCCCTGCAGAGTTAAAGTATCTTATTTAAGAAAATCATATTGAGTGTTGCATACTGGATATTAGGAAGAGATAAATGCAATAAATCTTTCTATATTTCTTGGGGGCGGGGGAAATGACATCTAATTTGCACATGTGGAAGTAACATTCCATATTTTTAGAATATTCAAATGAACCCTTTTGAGGTTATTGTAGGTCTTTACATACTCTAAAAGGAATCCAATTTGAGGATGTTTACCACTAATTTTAATATATTAGTATTTTAAATGTCCTCCTCAAGTCTTTTGGAGATCCCTAACTTCTTCAAGTCACTCAGCTCAAAAGAGATACTTACTTCATGTCAAGGTACTCAGGTACTTAGTGAATGAATTTCCAGGGCTAACAATTAACCAATAAATGGCTCAGGTTGCATCTGATCTATTTATCCAAAGATACAAAAGGGCCCAGTGTTCAAGTTCACAGCTATCATTGGCTATTGTGTGAAATTCACTGTCTGGTTCTTTGAAGGCCATGTTTACAACTTAGTGCATTAGGTGGCTATTCTGGATAGAAAAGGGTGTCCATGTCAAAATCTGTATGACTGCAATGCAGAGAGGAATCAGGCAAATCATGTAGAACATGGCATCATGGAGACCTAAAAACAAACTGGGGGGGAAAGTCCAATTTTTTCAAGTTCAGTATTCAGAGGACTCATTACAAAACCCAAATAATTACAGTACATATATAGAAAAATTCTGTTGTCCTACAGAAGATAATAAAATTATATTAACTTTATTTTGCTGGACTAGTAAATAGAATGAAAGAACTATATGTCAATTGAATTCAAACAAACAATGGCACATGCAATTCTGAACAAGTGGTGCTGTCAAAGCCATATATACTATTTCTATAAAACATTTTTCTTGCTTTGCTACCCTTGTATTTCACAAAGATGTCCTGCAAAATATGTGCCTCATTCATTTTAATAAGATTCCATACAAACTAGGGAACTCTCTGGAGGTGTAGCATTCTGAAATAGTTGCAGTTTAGAAAACAATATTTAGTGACAGCTCAACACAAGAACTTTATTTCTCTGCATGTCCATTCATGTCTATTTCTCAGTTAACAACAAACAAGTAATTGTGTGGGAAAATGGAGCTGTGAATCAGGCATAGACATTTTTTTTTGCTCCAAACACAGGATTCACTACAGTTGTGGTCTGTGCACAGTCCAATTTGTATTTTGGTTATTTGTTCAATATACTAAAGGAGAGACTGGTCTAACTGTATGGGGAAAGCAATAAATTTTATGCAAATCTGCCTTTGGGGTCCTAGTACTCTGGAGGTGATGATGAAATCTGCAATATACTAAAACAAATTCCCGACTAATGTATCTATGCATACGTGTGTATAAAACACTTGATAGCATTAACATTTAATATCTTTCTGACACTTACTGTGGGTCAGGCTGGATGGCTTTGTTATTCAGTTGTGCGTACCCAAACTGATTTAGTATTGTAACCACAAGCATAGGGGCTAAAGACTGAGCTGGTTTTGTAAACAGGGCATTTGTTCCAAAGACCATAGAAGAAAGTGGTGATCTGAAAAGTCAGCAGAGATTTTGTGTTACAAGCCATTATCAATGTGAATAAAGTGTAAGATCTCATTTCACAATATAGTGGTAATGACTGAACAAGAATGCATTGGCCAGTTAGATTCTGGATTGATCAATTTATTTTCACTATGAATGTAACCATGACCAAGCTTGGATTCTGATTCTTCAAATCCTAATACAGAGGATATTTTTCTTATGAATAATGAAAAGGGAACCTTCTCAGCTCCCAGAAACTTCTTAACATGTTTAATATTCTTTTAGACTAAAACCTTTGTCGGCTGAATAAAGTATTCAAGCAGAATCACCATCTAGTTTCAAATGTAAGAAAAGGAAAGGAAAAAAATGTGTAAAAGGGTTGATACAGAAAAAATTAGCAGTAATAGATTCCAAGGAGCTGAATGCTTTGCTGATCTGCCAGTAAAGGTAAAGGTTTCGCTTGACATTAAGTTTAGTTGTGTCAGAGTCTGGGGTATGGTATTCATCTACATTTCTAAGCCAAAGAGCTGGCGTTGTCCGTAGACACCTTCAAGGCCATATGGCCAGCATGACTGGATGGAGCGCCGTTACCTTCCTGTTGGAGTAGTACACCTATTGATCTACTCACATTTGAATGTTTTCAAACTGCTAGGTTGGCAGAAGCTGGGGCTAACAGTGGGAGCTCACCCCTCTGCAGATTCGAACCGCTGACCTTTCGGTCAGCAAGTTCAGCAGCTCAGCAATTTAACCTGCTGCACCACCAGGGGCTCCAATCTGCCAGTAGTATGTGCAAAATAATTTAGCATTATTAGCTATGATAAATGTGTATATAAGTATAAAATACTACCTTCTTTTATATTTCTTTAAATCTTCATCCACAATATCAGCCAAAGGCAGATTAAACAAACTGAAGGCAGCTTGAACAATTACCCTAAATAAATAGGAAAGCAGGTTTTGTTTCTGAAGAAACAAAATATGTATATGAAGCATTTAGAAACAAAAACATTAATAAATACACAGCGCTGGAAATAAATATCAGGACTCAATTAGTGGCCAAAACAAACATTCCAGAACCAAACAGATAAAAATCCAATATACCTGAAATGTGACAATTATGGAATCCCAGTGCCTTTCATTTTAAGACAATTGCAGCTTGTGCTACTCTTAAGTTACATGGTGAATCTGTGTTCCTTATTTCCTTGAATTAATATCCAAAATAACAGTTAATAGATAAAACAATATTTAATACTAACTTTCCCAGTGATGCTAAAGACTATGATTAATAGTTCCAATAATTACTGCAAAAATTCAAGAGTCCTTGTAGTTCAGAAGTCCATCTAATCAGGTTTTCTACAACTTCTCAGCTGCTCTACCTATAGTTTCCATCTATCCCCAGATTGCCTGGCTAATAATCTGTAGACCATAGGTCTGATCTCTCCAACCCGGAGTTTGCCATGAGTATAAACAACCAGAAGTTTCCAGGAAATGCACAAACAGGATATGAAAGGAATAGTCAAAAGTAAGGCTATTCAGATGAAAAAGTGCAAACAGAGCATTCGTATATGAGTTTGTCTAATACCCTTTTAAAGAAGCAGAGGTCTTCAGTAATATCTTCCAGGTATGTTAGCAATATAAAAACATTTCACATTGCCAAGACTGGGTACAGAAACAGCCATCTTCCTTTCTGCCTGGTGGTGTTGTTTCTTCCACCATCCTAAGGCACAGTAACCCACTGACAGTAGCTAGCCCAATTCATCATTGCGCTTCCATCAAATTCAGGCAGCCTTTGAACCTAAAGGAGCTTTCCAAAAGGTGTCTAACATGTGGGAAATACTTACATATTTCCTGTAAGATAAGCAGCCAGAAGGTAGTAGTGTTCTACACCTAGAAAAAACATGGCAGCTGCAGCCATCACTTCCAAGTAGAAGGAATATAGGACAATCTTATAGTAACCAAATTTCCGCAACAAAGTTTGACTGATGAGCACAAGACACTGAAAGATAAGAGAAAATATTTACCTATAATACTGTAATCCTGCTAAAGAGATGCTAAATATTGCTAGCCTTGCTTTACCTGGATTTTAATAATTAGAAACAAAGATCAAAAATGTCACTTGAGAACACTGGTTTTTGCTCAGTAACATAGAGATTGGCTCTATGTTCCAACATAAGGAAATACAGGCTCAGTCAGTACCAGAAGGGGACTCAAGGACACAGTTGAGGTGTGCTGCTGGATTCAGCACTGCCAGTGCCTAGCACTTGGCAGGAATAGTTTGAACAGTTAAGACTAGTGACAGTGAGTCAAGTGCACTGTCTAGAAATGCTTGAACCTACTATGGTGACACACTGTTCCACACCAAAATGACATTTTAGAATGACCACGGGATTCTTATCACTGCAAACACACACTCATGTGCAACTGCACCAAGTACACATATCGCTCAAAGTCAGAGGCACATAATGGCTGACAATGCAGACAACTGAAACTTCTCAGCTGTTTTATTGCATATATTTTCTAGAGACTCACCTGATATAAATTCATTTCAAAATGTGAAAGGCAAATATTTCATCCAAAGCAAAAGACAAAATTGCAAATATGGTGGAACGACTGTATTTTCCCGTTTTATTATTTAATACATGTGGAAAAGCGATTTTAGTTAAGCATTAATTGTTTCCAGACCTTCTCCTTAAAAATATAAAATAAATTCTTCAATCATCAAGAGTATTTCATAGTATAAATGTATATGATTTTTTAAAATATGTCCTAGGAGCAAATGGGAAAGAATTCAAGCTTCTTTGTACAAATCCATCATGTCAAAAGATTTGTTATACCATATGATAACTGTAGAGTAGGAAGACAATAATGCAGAATTACTAACATCAAGCAATGGGAGGAATTTTCTAGGATTTATGGTAATACATTTTCCTTTCAAGATAAAAAAAATGAGTGTTTGTTTTGCCTACCTGAGGACAAATAAAGCCTGCTCCGTACATGATACTTCTGACAGAAGATGCAAGAACTTCTTTGGGGATGAGATTATCTGCAAAGATCATCATGAAATTGTTGCAAAAGGCCAGGTGGAAGACTTGAAAGAAGTTCATGGTCACAAAAAGCAAGAAGTTTTTCTGGGTCATGATCTGCCTGGTCAACGAAATTATAGAAGACCAAGACAGAGAACCCTCCGCACTCTCTGAAACAACCTCTTCTGCAAGAATCTCCTTTTGTTCATACTCAGTTGTGCTGTAGAGTCCAGTGTAGCACATACAAGCTGTTGCGATAACTCCTACTAAAACTGTAAAGGCTTGGAAAGAGACAAAGTTCTCCATATTATCTGTAATTAAACCACAGAAAAGGATACTGGTAGATCCAACTAAGCTCGCCACCTGGTTATACTTAATCAGCTGGAGCCTACTTTCATGTCGAGTGGAAATTTCAGCAAAAAGTGCACATTGTGCTAGTAAAACAAATGTAAGCAGGCCGTCAAAAGCGCACAAGGCAACAATAAGATGAAGCCCGCTAAGCCAGTCATCTTCTCCATATTGTTTCCAAGGAAACCAAGGAAGCAGAAAGGCCAAAGCGTACAACGGAGCGCCATATAGAATGGAAAACTGGCGTCTAGAGCAGCATGGTACTCTGGAGTTGTCTTGAATATACCCAAAGAGAGGATCATTAATGGCATTCCAGATCATAAAAACAACCTGGGTGAAAACAAAATACAACCATTTGCATTGTTCAGTCACAAAGAACACTATGCAAATGAACACAATATGAAATAAATGCAATGTGAAATGGAAATATTAAATTTGTTAAATATTTTATCAATTTGATGAATTAAATGGTTGATAACTGATCCATTAAAAACAACCGTTTAGAAAAAAACAGAAAAAGTGTGAAATGGGAAATAGATGATGCTTTGGTGCAAGAAATGAAAACTTAGAAGAAATTTCTGTAGACATAATATGTCATTTTTAAATCGCATCCTTCATCCAAGAAACTCAGAGCCATGTAAGTAACTGTCTCCCTCTTATTTCTCCACAATATTCCTAAAACGGATGCCATTATTATTATTATTATTATTATTATTATTATTATTATTATTCTGACACAAAAACACAGTATGACAAAGCAAATGAGATATATATGCTGGATTTCGTATCACAAAATCACAAGTCGAAATGTTTCGGACTGTGTGATGTATTTTCGAATGATGTGCACAGATCCAAGTAGGGATTATTATTATTATTATTATTATTATTATTATTATTATTATTATTATTATTATTATATGCCGCTTTATCTCCCCTGAAGGGGACTCAAAGTGGCTTAACATAAAAGCATTACAATAACTATTTAAAATATACAAAAATACAAACATTAAAACAGGATTAAATATTAACAGTACTAAAAAAATTACAGTTAAAACAAATTCAAAGTTAAAAACCACAACACCCCCTGAATTGATCTTAAATCTTTAAACACCTGTCTGAATAAAAAGGTTTTAGGGATACCAGTGACTGGCTAATAAACCTCATGAACTTACAGATCCTTAAAACAAGGACTGGGACAGAATATAAGAGATGGTCAAAAAGGAAAAAAAACAGCATTTAAATCTGTTATCAACCATATTTATATGATAGCTAGAGCCATCATGTTTGGCAATAAATCAGAAAATTATGAACATGAAAGGGAACTAAAAGTAACTACAATTAAGAAAAGGATACTTAAAAATTATAAGCCGTTTTGGTTATGATCATGTCTTATAACATGATCCATTCGTATTGGCTAGGTACAGTCTTAGCCAGCATTATAGCATAACTTTTGTAACACAGTTTTTGTAACACAGTTTTTAATTCTGAATTCAAAACATTTATCTACTGAGAAACAAACCCAATGTACCTGCGCTTGATGGAACGCGGTTTCTGAGATCTTGTATCGGTTTAGAAAAAGTTTAACATAATAGAAATTGAAGATACTATTCATCATTCCAGCACCCAATGT